TTTTTTAATATATTTTATTCCCTTTAAGTAGGTGTACAAAAGTTGTACTTTTACTTTTAATAAATTTCAGATTAAGAACATTTGTTCTCATTCTTAAGTGATCAAGAAAGAATTGAGGGAGAGTTCCCTGGCAGGCTTGATGACATAGGGTCATGGATCTCTGCATTAGCTAGCCAGAATGCTGCTCTCTGCAAAGCAAGGTGGGAGCAATTGACTGAATTATCTGCTTTTTTCCTCATCTCCAAAATTCCAGAGCTTGTAGTTCAGACAGGGAAATAAATAGACCTTGGTCTTGTTCAGAATGCCTCTCTGTGAATAGAAAGTACTCAGACTTTAGCTGAAGGGCAGGGTGAATTGAATATCCTCACAAGAATAAAACTCTTCTCTTTATGCTCTTTTCAGCTGTCTCCTTGACACACATGTATGTCTTTGAGGCTTAACGAGCTTTGATAGTTTTATGATAATTTATGTTTTTAAAATGTGGGTGAGTTGGCAAGTGATCACTTTGGTTCTGTTTTGTTGTGAATAAATAGTGTGTCATTTCCAAAATGCTATTTAAAATAAAACTTTCTTTGATGCCACAATAGTTTTTTTTACTCAAAATGTTTATTTAGAGAATATTGTTTAAATATATATATATATATATACATATATATACACATATTTTCCTTAAGGAACAACCATATCCTTTATAAATCTTAAAACATAGACTTTCTGGAATTTATAGAGGTACAAATTGGCTATTCTAGTGCTTGTGTGTTTATATATAGGATTTGAGGTGTTCCAGTGTCTGTATGTTTAGGTACAAAAGGAGCAGAATTTATAAAAAAGGAATAATAATCTGAAAAGTTTAACTCCCATATGTACCATATTATATATTTAGGAAAATACATGAATCATAAACTAATTTAGAGTAATTAGTGATTTAGCCAATAACAAAAATGTTTTTATATGTATGTTTATATATATAAATATAGTAAACATATATAATATATATTTATGTTTATATATATATGTTTATATATATATGTTTATATATATGTTTATATATATGTTTATATATATATACATATGAAATCTCTAATCTTAATTTGTACTAGTCTTGAATATAGCTAACATTAAAGCTGAAGGTGTGCTATAAACATAATACAAAATTAGAACTTTTATAGTATAATTAATAACACCAAATTAATGATTTGAAATGACTTATTATACTAGAACTAAAGGTAATATATGAAAATTTAAATTATATCTTCTCTTATTTTTGTAAAACATTGAAAGAATCGTTTATGAAAGTTTCTGTAACTAGTCTTTAAATATTTTAATATTCATATAGTTCCCAAATCTGAATACATCATTGGATAGTTTTCAAAACATCTTGTTTTTAGTGGAAATATTGTATAATAAACTGCTTATTCATTTGCATCATCATACAGTCAGATGACTTAGTATTAATAATCACGGTGTATAAAGAAACTATTTCTAAACCAGTATGTTCTGATGCATTGTTCAGTCAATAAGTTATGAAAATTGAAATAAGTTTCAGAAGAAAAATCTTATAACTCCTTATAACTCATGTATTCCTATTTTAAAATTTTATTTTATTCTAAAGAGTGGTTACAGTTATGAGTACATTTCTTGTCAAGCACTGTTACCCCCCTCCTTTGTTTTTCCCCTACTATCCCTTCCTTCCCCTACCCCTCTCATTCCTCCCCCCAAGTTGTAAAGTTCATCTCCTTTAATAACTAAAACACAAAACAAAAATGTTGCAATTTAGCTGATATATAATTGAACAGTTGACAATGGAAGAGAGGTCCCAGAAATAGCGAGCAGATTATACAGTTGAGGGTCTCTCTAGAGGTGAACAGACAGGCAAATGAGGGGTAGGAGTGAGTACCACAGGAATTTATAGTGAGGACTCCAATACACAAAACCAAACAGACACCCAGTAGAATTAATTAGTGAAAGAAAACTACTTTAAATTTGTGATCAAGAACACGGAGAACAGTAGAAGCTCATTAAGTCTCAGTCTCTGTAAATTGAGTCTGTCCCAACCATGTTAACAGTACCTAAACTATTTCCTGTGAGATGATTTATATAAAACTCAAGAGTCCCAGGTATGTGGGCTTCTGGAGCATGTAAGTGTAGTGCAGAACTTCAGTTTCCCCACTCAACTAAGCCATCCCTCTCCTCCAGATCAGTAATATCTAGAGCGATGTTTTTCTGGCAGTTCAGGTAGTTGGAGTAGATTGTTAATCTATGAATCATCAGATGGAATCTCTCTGTCTTCAGAATTTCCATACAAAGTAGAACTTAAATGTGTGAGACAATTTTATTAACTGTACTTCAGGAGCACAGGCCAGCTGTAGAACAAAGCTTAAGCATAGATATATTTTTTTAATCCATGAAAAGTTATATTCAATTTATGTTAATTTTCTATGGGTTCATAAACTAGTGAGGTGATCTTTTAAAGTAATTGTGAGGAAATGAAAGATTTTTTTGAGTGTGTATATCAATTTTCTAAGATATACTATTTCAGGTATAAAATATTCATATAAATGTCATGTATTATATCTGGTCTAAAAGCATTTAAAGTTATTTCCTTACATCACTATTAAAATAAGAGGAGGGTTGGGAAGGTGGCTTAGTGGTAGAGTGCTTGCCTTGCCTTGTATGAGGTCCTGGGTTTGATTCCTCAGCACCACATAAGCAGAAAAAGCTGGAAGTGGTAATGTGGCTCAGGTGGCAGAGTGCTAGCCTTGAGCTGAAAATCAGCTCACTGTCAGCACCCAGGCTCAGAGTTCAGGCCCCATAACCAACAAAAAAACAAAAACAAAATAAAAGGATTGCTTCATTTTTTTCAAAATTGTAAAGAAAATAAAATTAGTAAGTAAAAGGGAAAAAAACTCAAGGATTTAGGAAGTGACAGATGATTACAGAAATTGGCTATTTTGTATTGTATCCACAGGAGTATATTTCAAAATCCATCAGAAAGATTAGCAAAGTATGTACTTGAAATGCAGCAAATGGGATTATTCTAATAATATTTGCCATGTTTTACTTTCATATTTTACTTGAAAATTATCTTCTTAGGATGTATTTTTGTTGTTGTTTGTGTTCCTTTGAAGAAGAGAAACAAGTGAAAATATCAGTAGCAATATTGTTTTTCACCTTTTAATCTCTGCTGTTACAAACCCATTATTACTTGTAGAATATGTAATCGTCCATTTAATGTTATTATGAATGATTTAAAATCTTATGTCAATGAATAAACTTTGTTTTCTTTTTTAAAAGAGGTTTTGTTAAATTTTATTTTATTCATTTATTTTTGCTTATGTGGTTCCTAGGAATCTAATCCAGGGCCTCAATGCATGCTAGGCAAGCACCCTACCATTAAGCCACATTCCTAGACCTGTAAGAGATTTTCATGATATCAAAATTTGTTTTCAAAATTACCTAGGCCTATACCAATATAAAAAGCCTTGCAAAATTAAATGGGCATTATTTATTTAAAATGGTTAAAAAGCAGAATACCTCTGAACAGATGCTGATCTTTCCTCCTTCTTTATTTTTCAGGCCATCCGTTGCACACTGGTAAACTGCACGTGTGAATGTTTTCAGCCAGGGAAGATTAACCTGAGGACTTGCGATCAGTGTAAACATGGCTGGGTGGCACATGGTGAGGAAAATCTGGGCTCCTCTTCCTGTTCTTGTTATGTTCCTGTGAATGTGTGTTTTTTTAAGAGCAGTCACTGGCCTGGAGAAGAGAGCGGTCAGCTGTACTCCAAGTGTTAGTTAACATTGAGCCTGCGGCTCTCAAACAGCATATTCTCAGCTCCAAAAAGGAAGGCTAGGCAGGCCGCTCTCAGAAGAAGGGCTAGATGTTTATAGGACAGTTGGTCTGTGGGGTTCTTACTGAGCAAGCAGCAGCCAGCAAGCACCAGGCCTGATGGAAACTCAAACATACCACAGTTGGCCTTTCAGGGCCAGGCCCTCAGAAGGAAGCTGGCAAATTCTCCTTGCTGAGAGCTCCTCCATGACTGCACACCCTTGTCATATGTGCTAGGGGCTGAGTTTATCCTTCCAGATGTTAAAAATTTTGTATGGTCTAAGCAGGGGGGGCGGGTTAGAGAGTGAACAGGAACATTGTTTGCTGGTATCTGAAAAAGTAATCTGTAAATACTCCCTTTCAGTGTGCCCTAAATTAGGGGCGGTCAGTGTTGGTGGAGTGTGCTCTCTTTGTAGATGTTGTGGGGCTAAGGGGGGCTTAAGTGAAGGATGTAACTGTCGAGATGCTTTGCCAGGTGCACAGGGCTTTGCTACCAACATGCTTTGCCTGAACATACTATGTATTACTGTGTATGGTTTGTGTTTATTGTGTTCAGGCAAAAGGAGACTTGGAAATAAGCAGATTTTTCTTTACCTTCTAGACTGTAAAATTTTAAGTGATAGAAAATGTTTATAAAAGAAACCCTGGCTTGAGATTTTTTTTTGACAGCCGGGGGTATTGGCTCTTAAGTGGACATATTCTTCATTCCCAAGTAGTGCCAAACATCCAGTGGGTTGTATTTTTTATAAATGTCATGTTATTCTAGCAAGATCTGAGGTAATAACACTGGGCCATGTCTTGAAATTCTTTCAATTTATCATGTACCTTGCTTGTTAGGGCATGTGTGTTAAGAGTTGTGAGGAACTTCCAGCCATGTTTTTCTGAGAGAAAGTATAAAAAGAAATACTGGAAGGAGTGTGCTTGGGTGACATACACAGAATCCCATATCCTTCAAGTATAGAATTATGTCCTGCTTCATTAACAAGACTAGAGTCTGTAAGAACTTTTTCACCCACTCCTGTACAGCAAATAAGCTGCTGTTACATTTACAGTCTACATGGGTTGCTACATTAGATGATTTCTGTGTTTCTCCTATGCTAATTTGCTTCCATGTCAAAATACTATATATATTCTGGGCACATACTCAAGAAATCTTCCTGTGCCCTTTTATTTTTTTGTTGCTACATGTATTGAAACCCATCCTGGAGGTTTTATTTTTTTTAATTTTTTAATGTTATTATAAAGGTGATGTACAGAGGGATTACAGTTATATCAGTCAGGTAAACAATACATTTCTTCTTGGACAATGTCACCTCTTCCCTCCTGATGAAGTTTTCGTATAAAACACACAGAAATGTTGTATGGGTAGACAGCAGTTTGCGTATCAACATAGGTTAAGGATCTAGAGAAAGACCTATCCACAAGGAACTGCACAAGGGATCAGGTCTGGGCAGAGGGAATTAGTAGAATCTACCTTAATCTTGTAAGTCTCTTATTTCTTGAAGAAGCATGCCTCCATCAAGTTAACAAATGAGAGACTCTCTCTCTCACTCCAAACAAATAAGCTCAGCCTTTAGCCTTTGTTTCTGACTTGGTTATATAGTTTGATTGGAGGGTAAAATATAGTTTGATTGGAGGTCATATAGTTTGATTGGAGACTCCAGTGGTGTTTGGAAAGAACTTCCACCTGCCTTTTTGGGGGGTATCTTATTTTAACTTCATCGACTGTAAAGATCCTGTCATGAAAGAAAGTTACATTCAGAGATAGGAGGAATATGGCTTTAGTATTTAAATTTGAGGGCACAAAATCTAGCCCATTACATTTCCCAGATATTTTTCATTTCCCTGAGGGGGTATATGTGTGTGTGTGTGGTATATGTGTGTGTGGTCATGGTATATGTATATGGTATGAAAGTAAAGCTTCACTTGTGTACCCCAGGCTACATTCCTTAGCATCTTCAGTGCTAGGCTGATAGGCATATGCCATTGTATGTGGTCTGAAGTATTGGTTTTGTTTAGATAATAGGTATAGAGCTTATGTTTTCAACCCAGCAAGAATCACGAACTGCTTGGAGGTAGGATGGACATAGACAGTTCTGAGGTAAAACCCTGGCTCTGGGGCTAGGAAGGTGGCTCAGTGGTAGAGTGTTTACTTCGCATGTATGAAGCCCTGGATTTGATTCCTCAGTACCACATAAGCAGAAAAAGCCAGAAGTGGTGCTAGAGCACTAGCCTTACACTAAAGAGCTGAGGGACAGTGCCCAGGTTCCCCAACTGACAAACAACACAAAACCCTGGTTCTGCCACCTCAGTGCCATATCATTCAACATGACCCTAACTTTCTTATGTATAAATATGATTAATAATAATATCTGCTTAAAGCCTGGAGGGGGGAGCTCAATTGTAGTATGTGGGTTTGAGCAAATACAAGACAGTAGGTTTGATCCTTCAGCATCCCCACTTCAAATAATTCTGCTTTATTGTGAAAACTAAAGATAAAATAAATGAAACCTTTAATAAATATTACATGCTAAAATAGAAAAATGGATAGTAGTTGAAGTAAAGAGGTATTAATTATTAAATGAATGGCTTTTCATTTATCCATTCATTTTTTCCTAAAGCCTTCTTTCATTAGCATCATCTATCTACTATGAGAGCTTTGTGAGGACAAAAGTTGACTGTACACCTAGAGTTGTTTCATCTTTGTAACTTCCACATGCAGATTGTGTTAGTAGTAAAACAAAATATATAGTATTTCTTCATTTCTGAATGATATAACTTCGTCTTGGCCAGTAATCATTTTAAAGATTTTTTTTAAACAATATGATTTTTCACTCATCTTCAATAAGATGTTTCTGTTATGGCAGACTCTTCTTTGCCTACTGCTCTTTTATTAGAAATTACGTTTCTGGGATATTAATTTTGGTTTTTCCAGGATCTAAGCAAAATTAATTCTAATTTTACCCTCACAATCATTACCTTTTCTCCTTTACAATAGGGCCACTTAAAATGTATATATGTTGGTATGCAGAACCCACCTTTTCCTCTTCATTAGGGCGAGTATGACAGCAAGTGGTTGGCTCCTAGCCTTTGAGTTGGCATTAGGATGAGGGCGCCCACTCATTTTGCCCCTAGCATTCCAACTAATTGCTTCATTCCCTCCCTTTGTACAGAAATCCTGAAATCATGTCTGCAGTTATTTTTGCTCAGAGGTAAAACACAACAGTCTTACTGACTGCCTCATACAATTTGTGTGGAGCAAGGAGGAAGTGACTTTGACTTGATCTTTGTCGTATATGATTTTTTTTTCTCTGAACTCTCATGAGATTGCAGTGTGACTGGGATACGTTTCATGGGACTGTTTTATGATAACACTCTAGTCATTCTATTATTCTGTTATTCTGAGATTGTATGATTAAAAAATTAATACTGGCCCCCAAACAAAAACAAATGCTCAGTGTTCATATTCTTTTGAATAACTGTCTTTGTACATCTCCTTTATTATCAGCATCAATTCATTACTAAAATGTTAGATTCCATGGTCATTATATAATATGTACATGCACTACAGACACTTACTTCATAGCCTTACAGATTACTTCTCAAGCCTGCTTGAGATGTTGACATTAATTGCTTTACAAAAGCCTCAGGAAAAATGTAATTTTAAAAATTAAAGAGTGATTAATTATGATACTTCAAAACGTAGGTCTTGAAATTACTTAGTAGGTGGTTTTACTCTTCACAAAGTTCTTCATTGAATTCTTGAGAACTATTGAGTTGGAATGGAGGTGGGTTTAAAACAGGTCTTGAAGATCAGTAGGTCTTTCCCACTGAACTAATAAAGATTTCCTACCTGTCCCTCTTTTAAATAAATCCTAGCTCTTTGTCTTTGATAATGGAAAGCAAGGTTTATTGAATCTATCTTTAATTAAAATGTATTTTGGTATAGAGTATCTATACCTCTTCTATAGTAACTTAATTGACCAAAAATAGGTCAGAAGTTCTCATTTTGTTTCTTTTCTGTTCAAAGACTTTAAAGCATATGTAGCATACTGCCACATACCACTGCTATATTTTTCCTTCGTATTTACATTGTTTTCTTGTGTTTTTACTTCATCTGCTTAAAATTATCTGTGTGAGCCTTAGGATTAGAAGTTCTACAAACTGATTATTTTTGCATGTTTGTGTGTGTATGTGTGTGGTACTGGGGTTGAACTCAGGTCAGTGTACTTGCTAAGCAAGCTTTCTACCACTTGAAGAACACCTCCAGCCTTTTGCTGTAGTTTCTCCATTAGTATCTCACATTTTTATTCCTACCCTCCTGAATTGTGATCCTTGTTGTTGTTGTTGTTATATTAGCTTCAAATAGTTGTACAAGGGGTTTAAATTCAACCTGTAAATTTTTGAGCACAATGCTTCTTAATCAGTGTCACCTCTTCCATTGTACTCTTCTCTCCCCATCTATCCCATTCACATAGCTGAGACTATACCCATACAACACCACACCCAGTTTTTTTGTAGGGTGAGATGAGAGATCTTACGAACTTTTTGTCCAGACCAGTCTGGAACGGTGATCTTCCCCAACTTTAGACTATCAAGTAATTAGGATTTCATGCATGAGCCATCATTCAACTTTTCTTGCTTCACAAATGCAAATTACATTATCAGGATATGAGCGTTAATACTACTTTTTTCATAGTACCACCTTTATTTGTGGTATGCTTTGTTAATAGCAATTCACTTGTGTTTTGATTCTAGAGTTGTAGTTTGACCACTTAAAGTTGAATCTTCAGTCAAGGATTTTTATATAGTTTTTTTTTTTTGTGTTTGTTTTTTGGGTCTGGTCGTGG